GCAACAAAGTAGATATTTAAATATTTCTAGTACTTGCTATTAACAAAACTTTATATATATGAAATACCAAGAAACAGGCATATAAACAAAAAGTGAGCTATGCTTTTAAATCAAGCTTTTAGTGAACTCTTTCATATTTTCGATATCTAAACCAAAAGGATATTTTGAGAGCAACGTTACTATAGGTCTCTGGACAAAAATACTAAGTAGAAACTGAGAAACTGGTATCATAGTGAATTTCGGTACCCTGTGATTTCGTGGTGACGAGTTCGATTAGGATCAGGATCTATATAAATAGCATGATACAGATTTGCATAATGCATGAATTAATTAAAAGTCTAATCTAGTAATAGTCTAATACGTGTAATCTAGATAATAATATATCTGAAGATAATCTTGTAATCTATAAAGGGCACGATCTAATAATAATAAAGGAAGCTTTTAAGTTTGGCTTTAGTAAAAACATACTTATTATACACTGTGTGGTCACTCTTATAGTAGTTGAGGTATTGAAGTAAAAAGTGGAAGTATCTGGCACATTAATCTCAGACTATGTGATCAGCAAAGTAAGTAAATTCAAAGGTTAAAGCGACGAAGACCCTGTAAGACTGCAAGCATCTTTAACACAAGGACTTGAGTAGCTAAACAGCCCTACTCACCAAATACGTTAAAGTTGTACTGTGTGAAGGACTGAAAGAGCTTGTGGTTATTGAAGGGGCCGTGATCAGTGAACTTAAGGTGCCTCAGGTGCTATTACAAAGTTGGAAGATTGTGATCAAAAGGATAGCAAAAGAATACTATTAGTAAGGAGTTAATAAATAAGAACAAGAAATATAAAAGCTAATATATACCTGAATAGTGAAACTAAACAAATAAATATGGACATCAGTAATCTTGCAGAGTTGTTAGTCGAAAGTATGGTGAAAGTGGTGGTTGAAACTATGAAAAACTTGAAGTTAGGGCAAGTAAATCGTCATCATTTTAGGTCTCGTCTGTGCTATGTATATCATTGTCCAGAACATTTAGCTCGTGATTGTTTGGATCAAATAAAGCATGAGTATTGGAACCGTGATATAGAAATATCTAAAAATAGAAAAAGCAAGGTTAATAAAAATAATAGACGAAAGAAAAGGAAAGATGATACATATTTGGTTAGTAAGGTGGATAACATAAAGTTCCTTGGACTTGTGGATGAGAAAAAAGGTGATCTTATGAAACGTGAAAAAAGAATAAGATAAGAACAAAAGAAAGGGTAAGTATTAGTATAAGCAGTCAAAGTAATACAATAACGAAAGAACAAACAAAAGGAATAGACAAATCTGAAGGATCCAACGAAGTGAATGAAAGAAAGGAGTTTAAGCATTATCAAAAACCTGTAGACAAGAGTCATAGTGATGAAACATATATGGCTAGTTATTGTTATGAAAATGAAATCAGAATTGATGTATCTCATCCAAAAGATGAAAGAACCCAAGAGAGAGAACTTGTTGGTGAATTTGGTAGTGAAGTCAGTGAAGATGAAATAGTTGTATTGATAGAAGCACCACTGGCTATAGTTATGCAAATAGATGCTATGATGAAAGGTTTGTTAGAATTGCTGATAGAGACTAAGCCTTTCAGTAATGATCTAAGTGATGAAAGTAGTAAAATCAATATATGTAAAATAGATGATAATGCAATGAAAGAGAATGTAAAAGGAAATACAACTGTTAATAAAAGTGAAAAGAAAGGAATGTTTGAAGTGAAACATAATGAATACATACCTATG